AAAAGTTGTCATTAGTGGGAGAGAGTGGACCAGCCCCTCCCTGGTACTCAGCCCTGGAGCAGAGAAAGCCCTGGCATCCTGGGATGTGGCGATCAGCCATCTCTTCTGGGGTCAGCCCTGTTTGGGAAGATCTGGGCTGTGTCAGGTGGGGAGCACTCACCCAGGTTCGGGCGGAAGTGCCACGGGGGACAGGTTGCGTGCTGAGCTCCCCGTGGAAAGGACGTCTCATGGCAGAGCTGAAAGCAAGCCTGACTCTTAGAGGCCTGACCACCCGGCCTTTAGGGGTGCAGCTGTCCTTGCCCCCGGAGACAGTTGGCTGCACTAACATCACACATTCTAGACTTGAGTGCATAGACGTTCAGCACTCTCATCACTATTTTTAACATTTTATTTTCTGTTCAGAGTCAAGAAGTGTATCCACTTTGCTTGGCCCCTGTTCCAGCAAGGAGGCAGCTAAATGCTTCCTAAGCTAGAGCCCTGCCCTGCCTGTGAACAGATTTTGATGAAAGTCCAAAAGTGAAGTCAGGTTTAAATATTCTGCGAAAAGCATCGGGTGCTTTTGTCTACTTGGGCTCAGTTTTCATGAATTATTAAGTCTTTTCTTAGATGACTGAGCTCTGTGGTTACAGAGCAGATAAGTTACTTTGCTCTTGAACGCTGAGCATTTTCACTGATTTCAGTCTTACTCATGAGAAAATATTGTACTCACCCACAGATGCCAGGGTTCTAGAGCACCCCCACCCCCTCCCGCGCTGCCTTCTCCCGTAGACATTTTAGACGCAGATCCCTCACGGTGGCTTTCACAGTCCAATGGGAGCTGCATCTGTGATCAATTATTATTTTGAAACACACTCGCCCCCATGCAGTCACAGTGTTTGGTGGGGAGGGATGTGTGAAATCAGATGCCCACCCAGGGTCTTTGAAGGTCACGCATCCCTAGATTCTGCCACTGGGACATGGAAGTGTGGACAGTGTTACCAGGAAATGCAACGTGACTAACACCCATTCGCAATGGTCCTGTTGTGAAATTGCTGGGGTTTCCATTCGTGTGCCGAACCTGGTCAGCACATTGTATTTTTGACATTTTTGGAGGGATTGGAAACTAATTCTTTCTGCTGCAGTTTGAATTGTCTCCAAAGGCCGTTTTATCAGCTTTAGAGCCAGGTTGATAATGCTTTCATTTTAAGCATAGCTATTTTCTCCCTGGCTCGGCACGTGGTTTAGTGACGCAGTGATTTCAAAATCCTATGGGGCAAGCGGCTTCGATGCAGATCCTGCCCCAGGGTGGCCAGGCTGCCCCTGCTCATCCCCAGGCGGGCTCGCTGGGCCTCAGGGCTGCTGACTTCTGTCCAAAAGGAAGAAACAGCAGGGAACTCGGTGGTGTAATTTACTGTTTTGGTTGTTGGTCCAGGACATCCATTCTCTCCCATAAAAATGTATATCCTCTCTAACCTCTCCCTCTAGGTCAGTGATGGTGAACCTTTTGAGCTCGGCGTGTCAGCATTTTGAAAAACCCTAACTTAACTCTGGTGCCGTGTCACATATAGAAATTTTTTGATATTTGCAACCATAGTAAAACAAAGACTTATATTTTTGATATTTATTTTATATATTTAAATGCCATTTAACAAAGAAAAATCAACCAAAAAAATGAGTTCGTGTGTCACCTCTGACACGCGTGTCTTAGGTTCGCCATCACTGCTCTAGGTGATTAATGAAGCCTACAATTAATTGTGCTCCATCAAGCATGTCCTCTTCTAGATTTTTCCCTTCTTCCTAGGAAACCTATTAAATCTTCTTGGTTATTGTAATATATTGATATATAATATATTTACATGTTATATATTTTATATAGCTAATATGTTATATATATATTTATATAGCATATATAAATATATATGCTATCTGAGGCTTTTTTTTAAAAAAAAGAGAGAAATAATGTTAGTTGATTACTTTTCATTTCTTTTCAATGTCAGAATGGCATTGTGTAATATTAACCCCAACAGGAGAGGGTTCAGAAATTAAAACAAGCTGACATTGCTCCATTCTGAATTAAAATGCGGCATTTGGCTTTTATATTTTTCTTCTATGTTCAGCCCTAATTGTTTTTGCATATCAGTCTAAATAGGCAAAAACTATTTAGAATTATATTTCAAATTAGAACTGTCATGTGGCCACTCTCATGTTTTGCTATTGTCATGATATAGTGAATAATGTTCTTTAATCAATAAAACTCACATTCTGGGTCAGTGATTTTTATATGCATGTGCACTCATATTTCATGATATTAATATTTTCTACATGCTTACCTGTTAAATGAATATTTTATGTTTGCTTGCCTATGCTGTTAATTTTTCTGTGATGCCACAGCTCATCTTGTAGTATACAAGTCAAGAAAATTAGCAAGATGCACATAGTTCCTTTTTGTACAAAACACATGCTAGCTTTAGCATCAATATTTGGTATTAACAGATGAATTTTAAAACTAAAACTTGCCTTTTTTAATCAACAAAGAAAACTTTTTCTTTTTCTCTCTTCCTTCTCTTTTTGGTTGGTTCCTTTTTATTTTTTAAACACTAAATAACCAGCGTTAGTGGCCCTGTCCTCAGAGGAATTACTTACTGTATTTTCTGCTACGGTCACGGTCACCGGGGACTATTGTGGAGTCCACCGTGAGTTTCCTGTTGTTTCGGGTGAGAAAGAGCGTGCTGAGTGCTCAGAGGGGTATGAGAAAGCAGGCTGGCTTATGCTACTTCTGAAATGACTTAAAATAGCAGTTTTAAAAGTATCTTTTACCAAACCAGAACAGCAAGTCCCTGGCATTTCTCATACACTTTATGTGCAGTTACATATTTTGACTCCACTTCCACTTTTCAAATCTGTGAAAGGATTGCTCAGGCTACCTCTGTGTTTGTGTAACGTACATGGAGCAGGACAGAAAGGAGACACTATCAAAGAAACGGGGATTCTGCCCAGTGCTGAGGGTGCTGAGAATGTTTTGAATACAAAGGAAAAGGTATAATTCCACTTATGAGAAAGAAAGTGTGATCGAGGTTACCAGGGACTGGGGGTGGGAGGGAGGGGGGGGTGAGTGCTTAATGGGGACAGACTTCCTGTTTGGGATGATGAAAAAATTCTAGAGAAGGATGGTGGTGATGGTTACCCAACAGTGGGAATGCGCTTAATGCCCTTGAGTTGTGGGTTTAAAAAGTTGGTTAAAGTGGTAAATTTTATGTTATGCATATTTTGCCCCAGTTTAAAAAAAACATGCATGCATGGAATGGAAAGAGGGCATTTGAATTACTATGTGAAATAAAGTTAGATGTTGGGTAAGATTTGTATGGAATTACAGAAGTTATGGATGATGGGGGGATCTCAGGAGCCTGCATGGAGTCTAGACCTCCGGTTTCACTGGTCCAGGACCCGAGGCTGTGGGGGGCGGTACTGCCCTGAGTGGCGCTGAGCCTAGACTGCAGGGGCCGGACTGGACGACCCTTGCTGCCTCCCCCAGCATGCTCACTCCTTCTTCCCATTCACTGAACCCGTGCATCGATGAGATTGGCTTCCAGATAAGGACCTGACTGAGGACATTTTAATCCTATAGCCTTTGATCTAGATGGTTCCTGAGTTAGTCTCTGGGGAGGGTTCAGACTCGAGGCTGGCCCCCCCGGGCCCTGTGACCTCAGATGTCCTTAGACAGAAGCTTTCATTTCACGGAGCAATCAAATTTGAAACCAACGTGGCTCTGGGTAGCAGTTTGCAGCCACGGGCTCTCCCGGCATGTGGACAGGGACACTGTGTGAGCTTCGGCTGTGACCGGGTCTACATGCCTTCCAGCCTCAGCCTGCGTGCAGCTTGCATCGCTGCTCCTGCTGCGCCTTCCTACCAAGAAAATGGTGAGAACTGTGCATGTGATGACTTTTGGTGTTTTAATTAGCTCGGGAGCTCACCCCTCATGAAGCAAATTTTAATAATCACGTCATGGCCTGGGAACACCATTCCCAGGCACGTAGTATGGTACACATTTATTTTTTATTCCAGCATGGAGTTCCCATCATGAAACAAATTCTTGAGCCACATTTGATATGATTAAAAAAATTCCACCTCGGTGGAATTAACACGAATCATATTTAATTCCACACAAGCACCTACTCCTAGCAGCAAACGCCGCTCCGTGCAGGGTTTTATTGTAACATTGTGCCCAGTGTCAGCAGTAAGCATTCTGGGTGGAGCCGTAGGAGAATGAAGAAATTGTGTGAGCAAGGGACCACTATACCTAACGTGACACAGGCACCTCCGTGAAGCAAAAGCATGACATACTTTTTCTTTCCAAGCGAGGCAGCCCTGCAGATCACAAGCCCGCTTGCCTTTCACTTTCTGATACACATCCTGCCGGGAGAAGACGGGTGCTCAGCCCCACCACTGCCCAGGCCAACGCCATTCGGAAAAATACAGCGCACGTGGCGGGCAGTACCTCTGTGGGTTTCTCCTGGGCGATGGCACGCCACCCTCATGGGAAGCCTGAGACATCACCCTCCATGTCAGGGTGGTTGCAGGCTGTTTCTGTGGTTAGTTTTGTAATGAACTACCTGGAAATTGTAGGCTTAGGTATATTCCTCCTAATCTGATACATTTTCTGGACTCTGAGCTCCTTCAGAAATGGGCCACACACGTTCAGTGGGGGACACTTCCATGGAGGGAAGAGAAAGGCAGGACAGTCAGTCACTGAGAACAGGCGAGGGCGAGAGGCTCAAGACTGAGCCAGCCACGTGGAGCTTGGGCCTGGAAAAGAATGTCACTGTCACATGTGTGAAGGTGACTGATACCCCGGGGGTAAGAGAAGGGTTGAGCGTGGTATAGAGTAACCAGAGTAATGGGGCGAAACCGAGGGAGGACGTCCTGGAATCTAATATCAGAAACACCCTTCCAAACAGGGTGTGTCCATCAGAGTGTGAAACGGGCTTATCAGCAAAACAAGCTGGCAGGCCAGTCTCAGTGACATTGCAAGGAAGGGGACAACGAAAAGCTACTGAGCAGGAAGAGCTAGCAAACGGGGTGTGTTGGTGGAGCGCAGGGCCAGGCCCAGCTGCTGGCCGAGGGACAGTGGTGGCTTTGTACAGGGCCCCCTCCAGGCAGCCAACGCCCCCAGACCCACCCCCGGGCTGGCAGCTGCTGGGTGCGTGGGGGGCCCCTCCACACCTCTGTTCCTGAAGGTAAGACAGGGCTTCCCCACCCTGGTGGTCAGTGTGCCTGCGAGAGCCTGGGACACTGTGCAGCGGTGCCAGGGGCCACAGCTGCGAACTGCATACACTGTCATAATGGGGGTACATTTTATTGCAAGCTTTTGATTTTCTACAGATTCCCAAATAATTGTCATTAATATAGAAACATTTTCCATGAAAACTGCAGTTTATTAGAAGTGCCCAGAAGTGCCCCGGCGGCCTCCCCGCGTCGCCGTCACCCTCGGACCCGCTCTTCCCTGCAGGCAGAGAGGGCCACCTCACAGCAGGCTCTCCGCGCCGTGTGCACAGTCCCCAGAGCGTTCTCCCCGGCGTCGTGCACTGGCCTGTCGCTGTGCTGGGTAGGCAAAGGGATATTTCTACAACAAGGCCAGAGCGACTTCCCAACGTGGAAGCATCGGGCTCCATGAAAACTTGTCTGTCTCTGACCAAAGACCCTTTTCCCCTTTTGTTTCCACAACTGCCTGTCAGACCCAGGGAGTGAGTACCTGAATGAAGATGGAGCTGGGCTTCCTCCAGGTTATCTCTGGATGTGGTCGGCTCTGTGTGATTTCCCTCCCTCTGGTCCTTCCTTTCTTCCCAAACTTCTCTCCCTTCTCCTCTTTTCCCCTTGTTTGTTTGTCTGGTCCTCATAGCCTCTTTTCTTGGCATTTAAAAAAATAATCTATACATTTCTTTTTTTTAAAAAAAAGAAAGGTATTTTTATATACTTTTTCTAAAATAGGTAGGCATGACTTCAATAGTGAAACCACCTCTTCATATATTAGTCACTCTATTAGTTAAGTAAACGAGGCCATGAGTTTGACATGCTTGCTCTACAGGAAGAAAAGAAGGCTCAGATAAGCAGCAAATAGCAGAAACCCAACTTCAATTTTCCCATGTGGCCGTCTGCTCTCCAAAGTGGGGCGGTGGGCCAGGCAGGAGAAGACCCTGATTAGGGAGAAACAGTCCCCGGCGCCCCTGGGAGAAACCTTTAAGCTGCCCACCCTCCCGCACCTCCGAAGCTTGGCCGAACCGAGGCCTGGAATCCCGCTGTGAGAGTTTCATGAGCACACACATGGACACAGCCAGACAAGAGGCCGCTGTTGCCTGGAAACAAGTTCGTGCTGCAGGGAGAGGAACAAGGAGGCGCCTTTGAAACCACACATGACCTGGGACTTTATCTGCTGGGGTGGTCACGTCTAGGGGAGGACAGCTCCCTCCCGTTCCACCAGCTTCCTGGTCCTGGAGCCCGCGGGCCGGACAGTGGCCACCTGTGGAAGGCACAGGAGAGGGCTGCGGAGCCTCGTGGAAAACCCAGGCGAGTCTGGGTTTAAGGACCGAGGTTGCTGTTTGCTGATCGCTGGCAAGAAGCAAATACAGGTCACTGGTGCAACTATGATGTCACACTTCTAAATAAATCCTCATGAAAATGACAATGGTTTCCAAGTCACGTCTTGGAAATAAATTGTGGGTAAGGACCGTCTGCTTAAAGCCTGGAAACCCAGTTTCCTCCGGCTTGTGTCTTTAAATGCTTTGATGATGTGGTTTGCTTTTCTCTCCAAGAAAGAAAGAAAAAAGTAAATAAAGACCGACAAGTGAGCGAGACCCACAGCCACGCTGTTGGAAGAGCCCGGTCACCAGGGGCATGAGGGCCGGCGAGGAAGGACAGAGATCCGGGGGACCTGAGCACTGCTCCAAAGGCAGCAGCCCAACGCTGAGAGGAAGCGAAGGCACGTTCCCTCCGCGGGAAAGGTCCCCACGGATGCGGAGGATGATTTCTGCTTTGTCACCAAATTGAGCTGCTGGTGCCTGCTGCCGAGGGCGGACCGTGCCGCTGTCTCCTGAAGGACCAGGCCCCTCTGCAGCAGCAGAGAACAGCGGAGAGAGAGCTCTGTGAGCAACGTCCCCCAACAACACAGTGGGAACAGCGTCAACAGCAAAGGCAGCCACGGGGGGGAGGGACACGAGGCAGCAGGAGGCCTCGGGGGCTTCTTGTCTGTGCTGGGGCCCAGGCCGGTGGGAGGAGGTGCAGAGCGTTTCGGATGCCCCTTTGGTGTGCGGCCCTGGAAGGTTTCCCGTTTTATTTTGCAGGCTAGCGTTGCCATTCTGGATTGGTCCCATCACCAGTGCTTCCCTGCTCTGCTGTAACTCTATTTTCTTCATTTGTCCTTTGCAAAACCAATGCATGAGGCAGATTTGCTGCCCAGCTGCCCCTGGGACCTTCCAGTGCTGGCTCAGTGCCTCAGGCTGGTTCAACGGAGCTGGCAGGACGCGGCCTGGGGTCTAGAAGCAGAACCCCTGGCACTGGTGGGAGGGTGAGCCCCTTCGCTGCACCCCTCCTTGGAGACCAGCTTCCCTGGTATTTCCTGGTCTTTATAACTCCTCAAACAAATGCCACAGCACAGGCGGCGGGGGGAGGGGGGAGCTCTTAATAAACAAACCACACACATTTCCAAAGCCCAGGTGCCTTTGAGTTTATAAGAAATCCCAGTTGCCATTTCCCACTAATAAGACAGCGGTGGAGCTGGGGGTAGGTGGCCGTGGCTATTGTCCCCTGGTGTCCCGGGCCTCTGCACTGCTAGCCTCTCCAGCTGCTCTGTGAGGAGTCCTGGGGAGGGGGAGGGTGTCCCCTGGCTGAGCTCTCCTGGGGTGGAACCGTAACCTCTATGAACAGACTTTATGCTACTCTTTTTTTTTTTTTTTTTGAAACAAAATGATTAACAATGAAAGAGTAGGGCTTGGGGAGAAGCCCTTTTTTTAAAGCAAGCTATGGAAAGTAATTGATGAGTAACGCTGCTTTAGACAACATTTTTTTCTGTAGCCCTTTCCACACGGTGCTGCTAGCTTTGCATAACCCCTGCATTCATGGGCTGGGTGGCCCCTGACCCCTGCAATGCGAGTTAAGGTGGAAGGGGGGAAGGAGCCGAGTTCCCGTTTGAATGTACAGTGTTGTCACATCACCCCGAGGGCCATTTCCCTTTCTGTTTGCGAGGCCGGTGCGGTCCCGCGCAGGGGCTTCTGTGGTCGGGGCGCTGTGGGCTGCAGAGGGCTGCCTCCCCGTGGTCGCCTTCACCTTCATTTGTCTTAGGGTTTAATTTCCTTTCCCAACAAACTCAGCAACACAGAGAATGACATTTGGAAAAGAGCGAGTGAGTGAGTGAGTGACTACCACAGTCACCAAACATCACTCCTGTGATGGTTGACAGGTGGTGACTCGCTCGGCCATCTCTCAATAAAATGTAAAACATTAATTCCTGGCTGCTGCACACGCGAACGGAATGACTGGACCAGGCTTCTGTGGAAGACACCTGAGGGCAGGTGTTTAGCTGGGATTTTTTCTTTCACTGCTTCTTTGATGTGACTTCTATCCAGACAGCTGCACCCGTGGTGAAGGCTTGCTGTCACTGGGTTTTCCTTGCTGTTGGCCACGCTAAGTGTTAAGCGAGGGAAAGTCCGCCCTGTCAGAATGTTCTTTCCAAGTGGCCGTGAAGCCGTGGCCTGAAGGTCCGGACCCGCCTCTGTTTCAGGAAACGTCAGGCTTGTTTATCAATACCAGCCCCACCCGCTGACCCCACTGTGGTCACCGCTAGGCCACCCCGGCAGCCTGGGTGTGAGGGGCTCCCACTCCCCTCGTCGCGTCACCCACGGCGCCACTGGCTTCCCCGTCAGCCTTAGGGAAGGAAGTGAGAGGGCATGGAGACCGTATGTGTTCAGTAAAGGAGGGTTAAGTCTGCTCAGATTTCTAGGCTGGGAAGCAACAAAACAAGATGTGCTCACAGAAGTGGTTACCTCTAAACAAAGTATAGACTGGAGATAAATCTGACAAGCTCTGACATCTTCAAATGTCAAATCCACCCGCACATCACAGATGACATTGGACCTGATGACCGAACTCCCTTTAAAATATACTTCATGTAAATACATTTTTGTGAAACCACAAGCTGTTCCTCTCAGTTTTGTTTTCAGCTGGTTTTGATGAAGAGATTGGCATTCTACAGCTAATTAAACAGCTTGCAAGTCAACATCAATGAAAGCTTCTGGACTCAGAAATATACTGCACTCTGCACGGCGCGGGGGTAGCCATGGGCTTCCTCCTTGTGCTCACAGACGGGCCAGAGGGGAATTCGTAGCTCTAATCCGGGCTCACAGCCTAAATCGTGGGTCCAGTGTCTGAGCTTCGTCAGCTCACCACACTGTCAACACAGTGAGTCGGGTTCAGACTAACAAGAAATGCAGTTCATGTTTCTGTGTTCACTTACACCTACTAGTATTGAATATATTGCAAATTTCCTACACCTGCTACATATTTCATTGTGTGACTAGAAAGCTACTTGCTTTTTCTCTGTGCAAAATAGAAAATGAAATGCAAGAGACCCTTGTTTCCAGGTCAAGAAATTAGGAGTTCCTGGGCTTCTCTCACCCTTGTCTGTCTGTCTTATTTTATTTTATTTTATTTTTTACAGCTGTGGCTATTTCTAGATTCTGGAAATTATTACTTGATTTTTCTTTAAGTTTGTCTTTCTAATTTTACAGTTAAACCTGCCCTAACCCTTAAAGCCAGATAGATTGCTCTAAGAAAATTGTTGTCATTCTTTCATACAGGACAGATTGGCTTCATGTAAGAAGCTCTATCTGGTAAATGAGAGGAAAACTCTATTTTACTTACACTGAGGAATGCCTCTAAACATAATGCTATTTGAACATCTTGGTGTTAACAAATGCATTTTGTGAAAAAAGGGAAGCACAAGTTAGCTAGTTGCATGTGAAGTCATTGTGCTAAAAACATTAATTTTTCATGTGGAAGAGTTCACATTTTGATTTATATACCTGCAAAAAAAGTGTATATTTTTTTTCCAATGCTGAGAACATTTCTTTCATGAAAGTTTTGCACGGTGCCTCTCTGCTCTTAAGAAATTCCCGGGTTACAGCTACGATTCGGGGTGAACTTGAATTTGTTCCGTGACCATGGCCTTTTTGATTGTGGTGAAATA